CATACCCTTACACTTTCTTTGTACTGGCTCATTAGTCAATCATACCCTCACACTTTCTTTGTACCGGCTCAGTAGTCAATCATACCTTCACACTTTCTTTGTACTGGCTCACTAGTCAATCATACCCTCACACTTTCTTTGTACTGACTCACTAGTCAATCATACCCTTACACTTTCTTTGATTCAAAACGTACTGACGATGTCTCTCCTTTGGAACGTATCAAGGAAGTAAAGACCAGATGGAAGGGAAGTAGTACTTGGGCAATCTACTTCCCATGTTATTTCTACCGCCCAGGTAAAACTGTGCCGTGTATACGACTATAAGATAGAAGGTGGATATATGTGGCCCAGAATTGCACTTTGACATAGAAATCTGACCCCATCATTCTCTTTATAGGTCGGGGCTCACTTTGGAATCATCGTAGACAACGGCCAAACGTTATGTAAAAGAGCAGCGAGGGTGAAAGAGAATCTCCAAGGTCAAGGCATCTTTACTCGCCTGTCAGAGGTCATGGATGAAGAGGTCAGACGGCACGGCATGATCAAGTGGGAGGTTAAGACATGCGCGTGGGCCAACGCCGAGAGAGTCCGAAACGGCTACATCCAAAGAGCAAACTTCAAGGAATTATACGCAATGGTATGTACTCGATGTCTTCAAGATCTCTGTCTAAGTGCACCCACCCCTCCCCTAAACCCCCCCCCCCCAAAAAAAAGCAAAAAACAACAACAAAAACAAAACAACCCAAAAGTAAATATGCCTCACTGGCGTTTGTGGTGGTTCACCACCATACGGAGAAAATGTGGGTTCGATTCTGCACCACCATACGGAGAAAATGTGGGTTCGATTCTGGAGTGGGGAGATTTTTAAAATCAAGGATCCGTTTCTATTTGTTAGGATATCGAAGATGTCCGTTTTCTAAACGATCTAAAGTATGTTGAAAGCGGCATAAAATTAGATATCTACAATTACAAGCCACCCCTTCCACCACCTGATTCGTTTACACTGTTTTACTATTCGTTGTATTCAAGAATCATTTCGGACTGGAGAGGGTCATACCCCCACCCCCCTCCTTCTCAACCCACACACTCATACCCCCACCCCCTCCTTCTCAACCCACACACCTCTTAAAATGTTTTCAGGAGGAGTAATAAAGAGATCTTCTCCACAGGCGCTGACACTTTCAGGTGTCTTTTAAAACCCTTTACAACACCAAGCAATTGAATTTCTGAAAGTAACAGATTGAAAAATGATGAAATGTGAGGCAGCGTGGTGGAATCAGGATCTCGTCAATTTTGAGCCATGTAGAGTCATTTGTATCGTCTTAAAGCTTGTTCACTTGTCTTTATTTGGATGAAAAAAATATCCATTTATCTGGAATACAAGTCAAGATATTTACAAAAGAAGGAGGTAAGGGTCAACTGTTTTCAGGGGTAAAATTAGTGAGAAAATGGCAGCCAAAGATTAGTTATTTCCTTTGCTTAAGAGTCCGTGGTAACTGAAAATTGATATGTTTTTGTACCTTTAATCAACATTTTTCAGAAAATCTACACAGAAATGAGTTCTTTAATGGGCATGAAAGGTGTTGAGCCAAAAAACAAAAATTTGATAAAAATTCACAAACCATCGGAAAAATGCAAGTTTCTTCACTTTGATTATTTTGACGAGAGCCTGATTCCACCGGGCTGCCTCACAAATGGTATAGGTTTAACGCCCGATCCAACACTAAGTAACTGACTGGTCTCAATTGTTCCTTCCGTTAAGTAATTTAGTTAGGGCTGGTTTTGCTTCGGTTGTATATCTTAACCAAACCTTCTTTTTACGTTTATTTGTACTTATATTATTATTTCTTATTTCTTCCCCAGGAATCTTACGACATGTATCTCAAGGTGAGCGACATTCTTCCTGTGAGAGAGACCAGCTTCTCAAACATCAGACCAATGACTCACCAAGATCTCTGGAATATTTTCAACGACGAGGGGATATGTGAAAAGTTCTTTCCACGCGGAAGAGTTCCATCATTTTGGGTTCCTCTTAGGCCGGTCGAAGATAACCTAAAACATCTTATAAACTGCAGAACCCACATATTTATGTCGTGCAAATCTCACGCGAAGTTCGATCCCGATTCGAAACCACTGGGAACAATAAAGGCTTCGGATATTTCTATGATGTCCCTTCTGTTTTGCTACACAACCGAATCTGGCTTCGTTTACAACACTGACCTTCACGGCCAAGACTTCAGTGATCTGGAATCTCATCTCAAATTTCACCTACACCGACTTCAGAATGTAGGGCACGAAAGTGTCCGCTGGACGATAATGTTTGACTCCAGTCACAAAGATGTCATTGAGGAAAGGATAGGGCATTGTCTCAAGGAGTATGGCGTCTCTCTCACACAGAAAGTAAAATCCAAGCAAGATGTGTATTTCGAGAAAATGCTTTAGTTCGAAACCTAATAGATCTAATAATAATAGAATTGCATTTATACAGAGCATATCCACACTCTACAGAATGTTTTATGCACTTGACAAAGATTTTTATATTATTATGCAACGTGTATGAGTTTGCCTACGCAATATGAGAGTTTGACTTTAGCAACGTTTAAATTGTAGATACTGTTAACATGTAATCTTGAAATAATATATATATATATATATATATATATATATATATATGTATGAGGCATCCTGGTGAAAAATCATGTGCTCGTCAAAATATTGAAATCGAAGAAAACGGCGTTTTATCGCTAGTTTGACCATATTTATCTATTTTTTTCTCCGTTAAACGTCATTTATGTCCTTTTAAAAACAAATTTCATTGTGCGTCTACTGAGGAGCGCTGAATAAAGGCATAAGAAATTAAAATTTTTAGTTTCCAAGGACTCTCAAGCTATGGAAGTTACCAAACTTTGGCGGCCATTTCCTCGCTAATTTTACTTCTGAAATCATCGACCCCCACCTTATCCAGTCGTACATATCTCTACTTCTGTTCAGATAGGTGCTTATGGTTGTTTTTTTCAACGAAAGGTAGACAAATGAACGAGCTTTAAGATGATAACAATGACTCCAAATGTCCTAAAATTGATGAGCGACTGATTCCATCGCCAGGTGGCACATATCTAATTTAGTGCTGTGCGTGTTTGCCTTGGGCGAATATGTGTGTGTGTGTGTGTGTGTGTGTTTGATTGTGTGTGTGTGTGTGTGTGTACGTGTATTTGTACGTGTATTTGTATGTCTGTGTGTGCACGCGCGCGCGCGCGCGCGCGTGTGTGTGTGTGTACGTGTATTTGTATGTCTGTGTGCGTGTGTTTGTGTCAGAATGTGCAAGTGTGTGCATGTATGTGTCTGTGTGTGTGCGCGTGTGTGCATGTGCGTGTGTGTGCACATGCATGCGTGTGTGCGTGTGTTTACGTACGTGCGCGGGCGTGTGTCTATACATAAAGTATGCACATCGTATGCGTTTGACTTTTGATCTAAGTAATCCTTTAACTTTAACACGTTGTAGAATTGAATCAGAGAAGGTATACAGTTGTATTTACTGTAAAACTCTTTGACTGAATCTTGCATAACATATTCAATGTCAGCACCTGTTAAATGTTGAAGCAACAATGCCTTTTTCCGCTTGTTTCACCCGTTGTTTTTTCTTCCATTTTTTTTTTTTTGTGAGCGGTGAGGGACGTACCCTGAGTCTATGGTTCTGCCTGTAAATACCATAATATTATTATTCATTACTAAGAAACGAATTCCACCCGAAAACCTTGTGCCATGGCATCAAAGAGGTTATTATATTTTTCTGGGTTCCCTAATTGGCATTAATAAAGTAATTGACACAACATCAACAAAGGATGTATACTCATTGCAGGATTACGATTCATCGTATATTTCTCTAAATTAATGGTACTGTGCTAAAAAAAGATGGCATTATTTTATGGGGTTCAGTTCTACGCTGGGTGAAAAAATTAAATGAAAACCTGTAAGGAGTCGATGGTGTAGTGTTTAGGCCTCCGGACTCGTAACCGTGAGGTTGTGGTGGGTTCTGGAGTTCGAGCCTCAGTTTCGACATCGCGTCCTTGGGAACATTTTCCTCCCTTCACCCAGGTGGGAATCGGTACCCCACTTTAGACGGCGAAAGATCTTGTCAGTATGTTATTGTTTTAACACCTGTAAAAATGGCAGCATACACGATAAGCTCGGCCCCTATAACTACATGAAAATCAGCTTTAAAAATATACATATATATTATTATATTAAAATGGACACACCCGCACACACGCAAACGCACACACGAATACATGAACACACACATACACACACACACACACACACACACACACACACACACACACACACACACACAAACATACGCACACACACTCAAACATACACACACACCAATAAACACAAACACACTCACAGACGGACAAACCGATATAGGAGGCACAGCAAAAGAAGTGATGGGCCAGGTGTATTTATCTCGCGTCTTCAAACAAATTGCTCCTGAGCTATATATATTCGCCAGCGTTCCATCTACTAAGAATTCGCTTACACAAAAGGTCAGGGCTGAGCCCTGGGTAAAGTAGAAATGCGTGATATGTGGAAGCAGTAGATGTACTTGTGGGTCAAACAATAAAATGATGCACATAGCTCATCTGGATTCCTCCTTTATTATTTCCGTCCTCTTCTCTTTGTCCTTGAAGATCTTCCTACTAGTCTACTCTTTTACGTATTCACAGATTATTATGATTTTGGGAACGCCTTAAGTGACAACATTCTTTCAGTATGTACAGGTGACTGAAAGCAGTACCGTAAGCTTTTTCTGTCCCTCTTTTTTCCTCTTCTAAAAATAAAAGTTGTTGTTGTTGCTGTTGTTGTTTTTTGCCGTTGCTGTTGTTGTTGTTGTTGTTGTTGTTGTCGTTGTTGTTGTTGTTGGTTAAAAAAAAGAAAGTTGTGCTTAAAAACACGGAGAAGACATGATACGGCCAAAATAATTCTTATCTCAGTCAAGCTCGTAACTGAAAATTTCGACTTTGTTCCACAATATGGCATTCACGTTTGTTGAACCAGTCCGCTGAGTTGTGAGAATATTATGCCGATGGGTATTGCAAATGTGCATCACGGCACGGTAAAAACTTGTATTGTTCTGTAGGATTTTTTTTCTAGCATCAGCACTTCATGTGTGGCAGAACCTGCTGGAGGAATGAGTGCTGGGAACATTTATGTGTCTATTTATTTGTGGAAAAGAAAGAAAGCGATTGGCAGTATATAAGAACCTCAAAGCAAATACAGTTGATAACTTTTTGAAAAGGAGTTTTGTTTATTTGTTGAAAAGAAAGGTAAATCTGGGAAATGCTGTGTTTTGAACTCTTTTTGCAAAAAAAACCCCAACTTGATGACAGTGAGGGGGGTCGGGATAAAGAATCTTTTTTTTCAAGACCTGGGGGCTGGGGCGGGGGTAGGATGATGCATGGGGATTGAGGTGGGGATGGAGGTGGGGAGTGGGGCAGATACAATAAAGACATGCAATGTATTATTATTACTAGCACAACGCATCTGCCTTCCATTTTTATCCTGAGCATTTATAATGCTAGTTCAACCCATATGTTACATTTTCCTAAAATCGACTTTTTTTTGGATGCTTTCCTGTAGCCGCAGATCTTTCTCGGTCACAAAACTTTTTGATGTGAGAAAATCGGACTGTAAACAACTGAGCCTGATACTCACATCGAGAAGACATGTCGTGAAGGAGAAATGTCTGCAGCTATGGCCACGGAAAAGCGAAAAAAAACCTCCGTTTTTATTTAAAAAATTAATCTGACGTACAGGTTTCTTGAAATGAACCGTCGATTTTAAACTATTGAATTGAACCGTCGATTTTAAACTATCACGTTAAAATCAGAAACACGAATTTGCATATTTCAAAGTGCGCATATTGTCGCCTCCCTTTTAAAATTTCAGACAAAGCAAGACAGAACTGGGAAATATGTAGGAACTAGCTGGACCCCCTTTCGATGAAAGGAACGATAGGTGCATTAACATCAACTTAAAGTCATTGGCCTACTATATTTACACTCTCCTGGAATGGAGCAATACAATTTGACAGATGTAAAAAATTAGAAGGTTTAGATATAGAGATGTATAGATTGATTCTCTCTTCCGCTTTCGTGGTTGTCACTCCAGAATTTCAAAGGTGTGGTCAGTGCGCACGGCTAGTGAACGGAAACCTCACTTGTTTACAATGGTGTCTTAGAAGACAGACTTTCCCAAGATTAGATCTGAACGAAACTAATGAAAAACAGAAAATTAAACAACAGTGACTTCAAGCTCCTCAAGAAAACTGTGCACCCTTTAAATGATTTTGAACCACATTTACAATTGTCAAATTCGAAAGTTAAGTGGTTCTGAAATTTTAGGCGACCGAAGTGACGAACTTCCACAAATATAATATGTATAGATAATGATATTATGCTCTTTTTTTTTCGAAATGCCCCAAAACAAGGGAGGGGCGGGGGTCAAAAAGCTGAAGCGTAACAGAACATCTCAAAATGACCCATCATCAGCTTCTATATTAGTCCTTTAAAGAACGAGTCTCATGTGACTGTGTGTGTGAGTGAGTGAGTGAGTGAGTGAGTGAGTGAGTGAGTGAGTGTGTGTGTGTGTGTGTGTGTGTGTGTGTGT